TTTCGTTGTATAGAAGTTGTTTGACCTTGTTTTTGCAACTTGGTCATATTGGTAGGAAGACTTAGAGGAATGCACGTAGTCCGAATTCCATTGTATGCATGATAATTAGCAGTCGGGCTGTGGACGTGGTACATTCCGAGACGTTACGCCGGCATCGTCATTGAGTTTTGCCATTCTTAGCACCACACAACAACTCGTCAGAGACAATTGAAGCCGATACTTTGACCAAAAGTGCGCTAAACAGTTGTGGTCTCCACTTTGCCCTGGGCTATCCACATTTCCTATATCCTCCTATCACACCTTCACTGTTACAATTTTTACCGTGCTTATTTAGATGTAGTGTGATGTGCTCCTTTGAGCGGCCTTAATTAAAACCCTTCATACTCCACGCGGTCCTTCCACCCCCCTCACCATTATGCTAGGAATATTGATCGGAGTCTACCATATTGTTACGTAGTCCTCCTTCCCTAGGTCTTATCGCAGTCTCTCTCTTGCCCAGTAAGATCCGTTTGCTATATCCCCGGGTCACGTATTTCACTCTAACCCTGCCACCCCATCTGTGCTACTCGAGGCGTTATTACCTCTCCCATGCGTCTGGGTGAATAACTTGATGCTAAGGCATCTAAGTAAGTTTCATGATCAAGCCTTTGCTACATGGACCACGTCTATGGTAACAAAAGACCTACTGTCACCCAACTAGCTCTAGTTTCCGCTGCATCTATCCTGTTTCTATCTGTAATACCAATTTTATGACTTAGTATGCCCTAATTTCTTGTGTTCCAAACCACAAATGTTGTGGTACTGCTTGCCTTGATTAGGTTCAAATGTTGAGGATATAGGAAATGTGAATAGCCCAGGGCAGAAGAGAAGATTCCACAATTGTTTAGCACACGTTTGGTCAAAGGATCGGCTTCATTTGTCTCTTTGACGAGTTGTTGTGTGGTGCTAAGAATAACAAGACTCACTGACGATGCCGAAAAAAACGTATGTGAATGTACCACGTCCCCGGTCCGACTTTGGAAATTATCATGCATACAATGGACTCCGGACTAGTTGCATTCCTTTAAGTCTTCCTATCAATATGGCCAAGTTGCGAAAACAAGATCAAACAACTTCTAAGATAAGAGTGATTACAGCGAGCTGCCCTTAATACTAAAGCGTTTTCGTGATTTCTTCTTAAATGTTAGTCTTTTTCTTTGACAAAGCGTGCAAGAATACAGAAGAGTGTTCTGCACGAATCCATCAGTGGCAGAACGGTTGTCAGAGGACTTAGCGCAATCCAAAAATCTCAATTCAAAGACTCCCTCAGTTCCCAAATCCATTGCAACCAACTTTTCCTTTAAAATGAAAGGCCAGTGGCATTAAATTAATAAATGGATATCCTAAACCCGATTAACGCATAAAAACAGCAGATTAAAATGAAGTGTAAGATAACCCAGATATAAAAATTCAATCTAGCCGAGAAAATGATCAAAAAATTAAAACGCTCTGAAAATAAACGCTAGCAAATAAAGATATGAAGAACAGGATGCTGCAATCGCGGTCTCTTTTCACCTTATAGATGTGAATGCACCTCGCTTTCGCAACCTGATCGTGTTGTCAGGGTTGCCTATTTGAACGCTTTTGACCGATGTATTCTTATATTGTAATTATGATAATAAATGCACTTCTGAAAACGAAAGTCTGCCATAGATATGGGTTGAGGAAATATAGAGATTACCGCCGATAGCAAAAACATGGATGAAATTCAACACTTGCGCGGCAAAAAACTAAAAATATTAAAACGGACGAGCCACACACATGGAAGCTGAAATCAAGGCAAGATTGCCGAACTTATTTCACAAAAGGGTAGTATTTCATAAGTAAACTTTTAACTTCAAGGACATATATATTTTGTGGTTGGTTTATTCTGACTAATATCAATAACCAGTCCAAAGAAGCTAACTTCAAGCATTATAATAATTTCGCTAGCTACCATGATAGTATGGATGGTAGACATATAGATGTACTTTATACTACACTTTTTGCTAGTGATTTGGTATTAATCATGATAATTTCTGATAAGGCTAGTTGACATATAAGTCTACGCAATTTTAAATAACGATATAGATTATTTACAGCCACGAATCATGAGGGAAATAAAGAAGAACGAATAAGCCACATGGAGTTAAGAAAAAGAGTATGGGTCCATGTATATCGAATAATATTAATTGCCTAATTATAATAAAGGAGAGCCTCTACCATTTCGCAGAACTAGTCGGCCCTTGCCTTTGGCCTGAGATCATCAAAAAAAGCTTATTCTAACTAATGCTATGTAACCATTTACAGTATCCGGTGTTATTAAATTCATAATAATTTTTTTGTATTTGGTTAACGCGCCTAAATATTATTAATATTAATATATAGTATAATGATACCATATAATATAGTATTGATAGAATGTGATTTTTCCACTAATGTGATGGGATTATCATATATTAACTATAAGGATAGAATCTAACAACTTCAATTGTTTTTGGCAGACAGAACCATGATATTATTTATCATCTGCAAATAAATCTTCAAATTACTAAATATACTGGGCCACGCATTTTTTAATTGAGAGATTTAAGCGACAAAGATTCAAATGAGTTGTAATCATTTTAGCCTAGCATGCTTTTAAGCGCTATACGTAAAATTGCTTTCAGATGCATTACCCAAATTGCAATTCTGATCAAGATATCAGATTTTTGTAAGTAAGAATGGATTGACTCGTGTACATAGCTTTGAATAAAATGGCTGGGCGCAATTTCTAAAGAAATAATCCTAAAAATAGACTCAAGTGATCACAAAGTACTTTGATACTCGTAATGTATAACTCATTGAATACATACTAAACAAGCCTACCTATTAAGATTATCAGTTAGGTCAAAAAGGTTTCGATTTCCTGCACCACGTGTTGAATGTAACTTTATATGTTTCAACGCAAGCCAGCGCAAACCAAGAGATCCATGAAAATGACCAAGCTCAATTCTAATAATGATATTTTACTCAAATCCTTAATCATAATAGCAACACAAATGCAAAAAACTTGGGCATTCAAGAATTTAAATAAAGCATACCTATGGGAAGTTATCGGAAGACGAGGCCGGGGCTCGCTCATATTCACCTATCAAATTGCGCTCACTTTATTGTAATAAACGTTAAGCTAGATTACTCTTCTTAATTAATTAACAAAACATAAAACAAATAAATTTAGATTTAAAAAATAACAGATAAACACACAATTTGGATTGTTTTTTAATGTCACTGCTAACCTTCAAGTCTATCTTATCTTCCTTTCGAACAACATTGGTTACGCCTTTGGATGATTTTTACTCACGAGAAGATCCGCTGTTAAAACATACCCGAGAGTATGAGGACGCTTATTCCAATTTATTGGAATTAATATCTAACTCTGGGCGATCTGATATATATCCTCATTTATCTGACTTGTTCCTCTTTGTCGGTTCAATACTGGGAAAAGAGTTATATGAGGGCTATGATTCTCGGCTGGGAGGTATTATTAATGGAGCTAAGGCTCTTCTCCATGCCCTACTTTTGCTTTTTGATACATCCTCCGCCAGATATTTGCTACTATTCCCATCTAATCAATTGGATCCTTCCTCAATTCCGATAGCGCAGAACATAACTCATATTTGCACCAAAGCCATTGCAACTACACGGATAGATAATCAGCCTGTTCTATTTTCTCGCCTCCCGATGTGCCAAAATGCGTTAGTCTGGCTTGGCATGCAACTTAGCTATCCAGAATTATCTGATCCCCCATTTATGCATGTATTTCAACCCCTTTGTCTTCAACTTACTGAAGATTTTCGGGAGGATGCTATAAAGTGTGGTTTCCAATTGCTTGAACATTTTTCTATTAATTGTCGGACCGCTGACTGGCGGGATAACAGCCGAGCGGAAGCTGTCCTTTCCCAATTGCTCAACAGACGTTTTATCAGTGATCCCAATTCGTCTAGTGCTGTTCTTCAGTCTCTGTTTAAGTGTATTTTTGCACTTGCTAAACACCTTGAGTCTCCAGTTCGATCTAATTACATGAATCAATTATCTGAGTCCCTTCTGGCAGAATTAAATATAGAGAGTAAATTGGACCGTAGATACGCGCTTTGTCAAATATTACTATTCCTGTCAAAAAATTTTGACGCTTCCCTGACTTTTCAAATGAGGAAGTTTATTTCGGCGTTGGAATCGGTTTTGCTATGTCCGAGAGTTCCGACCATGGTATGTTCACGTATTATTAGTTCAGTATCAATATTTTGTTAAATTGAGGCCATTTCGGTACCTTATTGAATGCATACGATTAAGCTAGTAATCGTAATTTTGCTTTATGCTTTTAGCTTTCGAATTCATCTTCCAGACTTGTAGAACTAAATACATTTCTTCTAATGGTTCAATGTACGAGACACATTGTATCCTCCTTCTGGCCGTTGTTCTCATCGCCTTTTGTGCTCGTCCGGCTCATACCTCTCTTAGTCTCTTTTATTGACATGGAAGCTAAAGATGATACAGTACTTCCCAAACAGGCTCAACAACCATCATCTTCATCAGAGACAAAAGCCATGGTTCTTGAAGAAATCAGGCTTCTTTTTATTACTTTGATTTACTTAAGGCCGGAAATATACCATGCCGTTCTTGTTCCTGCATCGTTTACTATTCCTGCCCTAAGGAATCTAGTCATAAATGGGGAAGCTGCGAATGTATAGATCTTAAATAACTCGAAACGTATATATATTTCGATTGTAAGCATGATCTCTTTATTAATTTTGTAAATCTCTTCACGCCAAGTTTTTGTTTTTTTATTTTGAGGCTTCATTGCCATATCTCCGTTTACTTGATCCAGTTATACTGATCCTTGTCATCTATGCGTTCACATCTGTTTCTCTTCGGGGCAGTAAACTATTCCTGATTTTATGCTATCACTTCATATTTTCATTAGCAAATTATTTGTTAAGCATACTTTCCTGCGTATCCACTAGTCTGTAGCATCACATAATGTCATCCTTCATGTTTTGGGAATATTCACCATATCAGGCTCTCGGCACTTTATCACCCGTTAATGAATGCGCATTTTGTTCAATGTAGGCTAAATGTTGAAGATGCTCGGAGAGTATAACCTATAGAAATCTATCCTATAACTATATTACTTTTTCTGCTTGATACTCTTATCCCTTTTATTTTGTGAGACTCAATCAGTTAGTTTGAGTCGTTATTTCAGTGTATCAATGCGAAATATGAACTTATTATAATTTGACCCACTGGATTTTCCAAGTAAAATTGACTACTATCCCTATGACATCAGTCAGCTACCTCAGCTTTGTTAAAGGAAATTGATACTGAAACAATAGAATATACCGTGGATTATTTGGCTTTATCTAGAGGATACTTCGAATAAAAACTTAATCCCTACAGAGGCGAAGATATCCCTCTCGATTCCCCTCTCCGATTTTGTCTGATGCAATATTTGGTCGCGGACATCAGTGGAATAGGCCTATTGGCAACCTCAGCTGAAGAATTTCGCAGTATCGGTGGCATAATTTCCATCCTTAAATACGCCCGAAATTTTGCAGGTTGGGTCTCATGGAGTCGACTGTCTCTTTAAGTAAATATTATTTGTAGTTGATACCACCATGTCTGCTGGTCTCAGCTCACCTCACTCATTTTTACTGAATTGAATTAACAAATGCAAAATTTGCGCATGTTACACCTAATCTCAAAGCCAACCCTCTTCAGCCCCCCTAAATATCGTTGGGGTCTGGATTTTTCATCACTAAATGTTTTGTATTTAGGGACGAAACATCACGTAGCAGTTAAGTAGTGTAAACAAGGGCTAAATTGTCTTGGTGGTGTTGACAATAGGGGGACTAAGTCCTAAATAATATCTCATTTGTGACTACTGGATTATAAGTAAATAAGCCTTTGAAATGGTAAAGGTTCCAGAAACAGGACATCTTGATATCTTAAACAGGTCAGTTAGACATGTAGAAAAACTTGGATCTCGG